TAAATAATTAGACTATAAATCTTAATTTAGGTTTTTTAAAAGCCTATAAATAAAAGAATATAATATATTATCTATTATAGTAATAAAGTTAATCTCAAAAGTAATTTTAAAAACGATTATTATTTTACTCTTTTTTATTTTCCTCTATAAATGCCTCTTATATTAGCATGAAAACCATATATTTAAATCGAAATTTTCAAGGGCTATCAAATGATACTATTTATAGACTTATAACTCTATTAATTAGCCTAATACAGCACTTTTTTATCTTTTTATTTATTTTAAGCTAAATCCTACTTTTATAAAAATATAAATGAAATAAAAAACTAATACTTTTTTATCTTCTTTTTTTTCTTCTTTTAATATTAACTCTGTTAATCTGAGATCTAAAAATTTAGATAGAAATTTAAAGGGCTATTAAATAATATAATTTATAGATTTATAACTTTAATAATTAGCCTAATACAGCCGATCAAAGGTTTACGCTTATAATTCACTTTTGGTGTTCTTAATACTAAGGCTGCAGCCAGGTCTTAACGAATTTTAATGTTCTTAACGCCAAGGCTATAGCACTCTTCCATAATTTTGATATTCTTAATGCCAAGGCTGCAGAAATAACCTTACCGCTAAACACGAGTACCTCTTAACGCTAAACCCCTAATGGCAGGAGTCTCTTATAGGGGTCTATTCAGGGTCACAAGGGATAACATGTATAAAGAAAAAGTAGGCACTATACTCTTATTCTTTGAAAACGACCACATTTTTAATTATAATATTATAGCTATTTAGGAGCTATAACATAACTCACAAATAAATTTCTTGCTTAGCACCTATAAAAGGGGCTTTACCTTACTCTATAACCTGAGAGAAGATGCTAGCGTATGCTTTTATATTAGAGATAATATAGACATTAATAACTAGGAGATTTATTATAAGTCTCCTAATATTACGTTACTAGCAATTCAAACGCAGCTTAATAGTAAGCTAATAATAATATATATCTATAATGTATATAGTAGGTCACCCGCCTTATACTTAGTAATAGAGGCGCTTTCTATAATAATAGTGCTCTATAACCCCCTAGCTAGGCCGGGGGAGCATATTCTATTAAGAGACTTTAATCTACATCATCTGTACTAGGGCGGAACTTTATATAGCACTAAGCATAAGGTAACAGAGCAACTAGTTAATCTTATTATTAACGCTAGACTAGAACTAGTCCTCCCCTTAGGCACTGTTACTTAGGAGGCGCGAGGCCTCTACTCAACTATTAATCTAGTGTTTATCTCTGCCACATTAACCTTACGACTCGACTACTGCTAAGTAGAACATAGCCTATGTCAATCGGCCGACCATCTCCCCCTCTCGACTTAATTACGTATAGAGAGCGCGCCTTATATAAAGAGGCCAAGAAGGGCCTAAAAGCTTATTAATATAGGTAAGGTAGCAGAACTAACTTTAACAGCACTCCCTAAGAGGACCCTTAACACGCCTGAGATGATTAACACCTATATAACAGAGATCCAAGACCACCTTTACAAGGTTATTAATAAAGCGGTTCTATAGGCTTGACAAGATGCTTACAGCAAGTCTTTCTGGACTCTAGAGTGCTTAGAGACAGTAAGGAATGCTTGTTAACTTTGCTATATATAGATATTAATAAAATAGGAGGAAGACTAGGCGCAATATTAACAGACTAATAATTGTAAAAAGCGAGCTATTAATAAAGCTAAGTAGATTAACTTTAGGACAGGAATTAAATATACTTACACTAACTCTAAAGGTCTATAGAAACTCGCTAAATAGGCAAGAACTAATAGTTATCGCCTACAAGATTTCCCTAAGTTCCTATCGCTAGTAACCCAGGACGTTATAACATATACCTTTAATGACTAGATTAAGGTACTTAAAGCTGCCTTCTTCCCGCTATTACCAGAGGCACTTCTTAACAACATCAAAGCTATAATGTACCTGTAAGCACACTATTGCCTAATAGTCATTACTAAAGAGGAGGTATAAAACGCTATTAAGCGCTTAAGAGCGGACAGAGCCCCGGGCCCTGATGGAATCCCTAACAGAATTCTTTAAGCATGTGTTAACTAGCTTACATCTGTGCTTACTTACTTATTTTCCGCTTATATATTACTAGAATACTACTTCTAGACTTTTAAGAAGCTTACATACTAGCTTTAAGGAAGCCTAATAAACTAGATTACTTATTCCTTAAAGCCTATAGACTAATAGCCTTACTTAACATAATAAGCAAGACGCTAGAGTCTATTATAATATAACGAATTACATACTTAGCTAAGCGATTTAATATTCTTTTAAAGATATAAATAAAAGTAAGAAGTAACCACTTAATTAAGATAGTACTAAAGCTCCTTATTAAACAGGTATATATAATCTAAAACTAAAGGAGAAATAAGATAACTACTTTATTAAGCATAAATATAATAGGCGCCTTTAATATAGTGTTTTATTAATAGCTAATTCATAATCTAAGAAAGTATAAGATCCCTCTTATAATTATTAAATAGGTAGTAAGCTTCTTATTAAATAAAGTCTCTACACTCTTTATAAGTAATAAGACGTTTAGGAGATTTAAGATTTATACAGAGATTTCTTAGGGCTCTCTAGTCTCGCCTATTTTGTACCTCTTTTATAACGTAGACCTATTAGATATTAGTAATCACTAAGGGACTAAGACAAGCGCCTTTAGCTTTGTTAATAATATTAATATCTTTATATTTAGCTAAAGCATAAAAGAAAACTATAAATGCCTAAAGCTATTATATAATAAGTGCTTATAATAGGCCTATTATTATAATACTGTTTTTACATTATAAAGTACAAACTAATATATCTTATAAGAAACCTAAAAAAGTTTAATATAAAAGTAATAATTAATATAGCTAGTATCTTAATAATAACAAAAACAGACATTAAGGTACTAGGACTCTAGATTAATACTTAACTAAAATAAGACCCTTATATCAAAAAGATACTTTAAAAAATAACTTAATAAATGCTTACTTTCATAGCTTTATTAATCTTTATATAAGGCGCTTCCTTTTTATAAGTAAGACGTATTTATAACGCTATTATTAAACTAGTAATAATATATATAATAGTCATCTAGCATTTACTTAATAAGCTATAAGATACAAAGACGTTTATAGCTAAACTCTCTCTTATCTAGAACAGATGCCTTTATATAATCACTAAAGCCTATAAGGCTATACTCATCTTTGTCCTTAAAGCAGAGACTTACTCCTTGCCTCTTCTGTTACTACTTAATAGCATTTAGATAAAAGTATATTATAGACTTATAATTATAAGCATAAAGCAACTTATCTATAAAAACTGTCTTTGAATTATTAATAAGCTTGACTTATAACAAGGACACCCCTACTATGCCACTATAATACTAAGAGCCAGAAAGCATAGCTGGCACAAATAACACTTCCTTAAGCTTAACACAGAGATAAAGCTAAACTAAGCCTTAGAACGCACCCTACTATAGGAAAAACCCTGATAAGAAGCGGCTACGCTGCTTGCAGAAACGTGACAACAGCACTAGTCTTATCGCTAAACAGTTAGAGCGTTTCAGCTAGAGAACTAGCGATTATTATAAAGCGCCTATCTAGTAGCCCTCTAGTAAGCCCCAACCCCTGCACAGAGCAGGGAAATCAGCAAGCAGAGATTAAGGATACATTAAGGCCTAGCTAAGGCACAAAGCTCCCTTACCACACAGCTAAGGACTAACAAAATAGGCTTCGCAGACTTCCTCTTTAAGCAGAACTTTCCAGACATCCCCTCACCATCCTGCGAGTACGGTTAGAGAAGACAGACTGCCTAACACGTGGTTATAGACTGCCCGCTACTCTCAGACAGACACAAGATGCTCGCCGCCGCCGGCACGACAGATTACCGCCGTCTTCTCGACGACCCAAAGGCCCTCAAGATAGTAACGCTATGGCTAATGAAGGCTGGGGCCCTCGCCCAGTTTTCGTTCGCTGCTGAACAACTTTGCGCCTAACCATTAACTGTAGCTACAGAGCCCCGTGCACACCGTTGAAGCGCCCTGAAGAACCATCCACTCACTGGCGGTAAGGTTTTCTCCCTAGAAAGGTTTCCTTACGTTTGTTCTTGTCTGTTTTTAAGGGCTATAACTACCCTTAATTGTACGTATCCCCCGCATGGACCAGCCCTAGGCCAGGACCACATTGGTGTAAGAATCAAATAAATAAATACCTTCTCCGCCTGTATTGTGGCAAATCCTGCTGGGAGAAAATCTCACTTCGACTTCGACATGGTTCGGTCCGCGAAGAGCGAATGTTGCAACAGATCACGGCGTAAGAGGCATACCCATTTGGTATCTGGTTACTCTGTACTTGTAGGGTGTCGTTGCAGTCGGTACTGGGAGGAAGTAAGGGGGTTCTGCAGCCAAGATTCAGGGGCTGTTCGCCGCCACTTTTTTGCAGAAGACGAAAGTTATTGCTCCAAAGATAGTTGGAGAGTCGGTCACAGTTTTCGATATGAAGTGAAGAGTGATTTGTGGTCGCAAAGTTTGGAATATCACAAGTGGACATCGTCACCTACATCAAAGGTGCTGAAGAATATGAGAACTTTCGAGACTGTAAAGTGGGAATGGTATTGATTGTTGCTATCTGCTTTTGCAAAACTTGGGCATAAAGCCGGACTAGGCTAGGTCTTTTGGGGTATCATGCTGATAAAGAGAGAAATCGTGTCGCTAACACTCATGGATTATGGTCAAGCAGAGGTAACTCCCCAACTGACCATGATCACTGTCATCAATACCATTTCATACCTCTGCAAACCCTGCTTCAAGTCATGTGATTGGCTGTGGGCAAGAGGCCTTTCCGAAAGTTTGCGAACAATCTGCCATGGCACGGAGTTGAGCTGTCGGAAATGTCTTGACTTCAATCGAAGAGCGAGAGCGGACACATTGAGATCAAAGATAAGGCTGTTGGAGTTTATCGGCGAGTCTCGTTACCGCCATAGGTCTTGGAGCCATCCATATCAGAGTCAACGCTGCTTGAATATCAGATATTATACATGAAGAGGACATGAATGACTCACCGAGGGTCAAGCTTGTTGAGAAGGTTAGAATTATGAGGACCAGCAGTGTCATGAGCAGTACCAGAACCAGGAGCCATGGAGGAAGTGTTGTGACCAGTACCATAACCAGTACCAGTAGACGTACCATAGCCAGCACCCGTAGAGCCAACATTGGTGCGATGATCCATATCGGAATCAACGCGAGGGTCTGCTTTGTTCATCAAGTTGGAGCTATGTGGACCAACATTGGTTGAGCCATGAGTCGTTCCATACCCGCTGGTAGAGCTACCCATGGTGGAGGTGGGATTGTTGCGCCCATCCGTGTCGGAATCAACACGAGGGTCCAGCTTGTTCATCAAGTTTGAGCTGTGTGGGCCAGCATTGGTCGAACCGTGAGTGGTGGTGTCATGAGCGGTGCTGTGATGGGTGCCGTAAGTAGTACCAAAGCCGCTGGTCGAACTGCCCATGGTAGAGGATGGGTTATTGCGATTGTCCATATCAGAGTCGACACGAGGATCCATCTTGTTCATGAGATTGGAGTCGTGGGGACCGACGTTGCTTGAGCCATGAGTGGTGCTCGTGCCAGTCCCGTAGCCGGTGTGAGAACTGCCCATGGTGGAAGCTGGGTTGTTACGGTTGTCCATGTCAGAGTCAACACGAGGGTCCATTTTGTTCATGAGATTCGAGCTGTGAGGACCGGCGTTGCTTGAGCCATGAGTTGTGCCGCCAGTAGTGCCAAAGCCGGTGTGGCTGGTCGAGGTTGGGTGGTTGCGGTGACTCATGTCCGAATCGACTCTCGGATCAGCCGTGTTGGCAATGTTGGAAGAATGAGGACCGGCATTATCAGTAGCTGGAAGAAGGTCAATCGGGATTCAAGGTCAGGTCAAGGGTCAAGGACAACATACTGTGATGACCATGCTTGTCACCGGTGACGGCATCTTTGACCTTGTTGATGAGGTTCGACATGATGAATGGTAAGAAGGTTTGATTGGGGATTGTATTGCTTTGGTGGGTTGAGTTTGTCAGTTGATTGTGGTTGTGGTAGTGGTTGATGGAGAAAGATAGAGTAGGTGGGTAGAAGGTAGACTTAAGTATTCACAGGCATGTATGTGTTCAATGTGAATTGGCAAGGGCATTGAAGATGAACCTTGGCGTGTCGATGGCATGTACCAATGGCGCAAGCTTGTGAAATGGATCTTCTACAGCTCTACTACGAGTAGTACGTCACTTCTGTGCAACGCAAGTTTGCTTGGAAGCTTACTACTACGTACGCACAACGAAAAAGGGACTGAAGTCTGGACCAATCATGTCCATCATGCTGGAACAAATTGCGGGTTTTAACGGTGGTGTGGCAGGGTATTGACCGGGGAGATGCCCGATCGACATCTCCAAGAGGTCATCCCGCAGGAACCAACATCTGGCATTTTTCCATGTCATGGCAGGGCGATCGAGCGGCGGTTCTTTTCAATTGGAAGATCGAAAAGCTGAAGGAAGACGAGGTCAGGAGGTGAGGAGGGGCTTTCAGCTAACTACGTCATCATGCCGCCTTAGCTGTCGATCTGTGGCTGGTGAGGTCCCTCTTCAACTACGTAGTACTACGTACACAATCGAGCACAGCCACATTCGCCAGAGAGACTCAACCTTGCCGACTGCATCTTGATTGCTAACAAAGGACAAGACCTACATACGCTTCCAAGCTATATGTGTTGTTGCATGGCTGAGCTAACAGATCCAACTACTATTTGTAGAAAGCAGACCAGTCCGTGCGAACCGTAGCATTCAGAATCTGGAAGCCTATGTTGGGATCCAGTTTTCCCACTTTAATGGTGTGGTAGTGCGTCCATCTGACTTTGGTGCCTTTCTTCTTGCCTCTGTTTGAGTGAAAAAATACATTAGTTTGCCTCAAGTTAGCATCAATCTGCCCTTCACTTACCCATACGGTTTCTTCAATGTCGCGATATAAGTGGCCTTCCAAACCCCAGTCAGACAATCATTGCCCTCCATCCCACCAGAGGAAAGTTCATTCTCATCCAAGTGAATATCACCAAGGACGTTGCGGATCTTTGGTATAACTTCCGTCAATATGTTGCTGAATTCGCGTCTCGACTTGGCCCACCTCCCTGGGGCAGCTAACTTCTTGCCTTTTTGCTCGGCTGGATAGTTGGGGGTTGTATCGGTGATGCTAAACTGGTCCCAGAACCAATCTTGAGTATACCCTTCGTAGCTTCCAAATTGTTTCTTGATGTCGGGGTCGTAAAAGCTACGCAGGAAATATTTCGATAGAGAATGGAGATATCTGGCAGTGGGACAGCCTGGTGGAGCTTTTGGAGGAGGTTTCCTAGGCTCTATAGCGGCGACGGCCGACACAGGATTCGGCGGCGCCGCATCAACAAGGTAAACTAGGCAAAAGGCCGTGAAGGCGAGGAGGATGAATCGATGGACCGACACACGCATGATGCCGTCAAGAGGGGGTGAAAATAGGAAGGCAGAGATACGTGAGAGATGGGTTTCGTACAGTTCGCTATGGGAGGATCCAGTTTTTATATAGACTATTCTCAACTTCCGGACACATCCATTGGGTTCGTCGATAGCATACACCAGAATTAGTCCTATACGGAGTACCACGGTACTACGCATGAGGTAGAAGTATCCACTGCTCGGCGCTAGTATCTTTGTTGAGAGACAGGCTGCAAATGAGATAAGCGGTTTTGTTATAGTAGAACGAAGTGAGTTTGGGAGGTAATAGAGCGTCAAGGGTTGCCCCAGAATAGTTCCTCTGACGGAGACCAATATGGTGTACACGAAATATTCATCCACAGGGAAGCATGATTTGATGGTTCTTGAAGCTCGGACCTTGGGTAGTTGATACCCTGATGTTAATGCAGGGGGTTGACGACTAACTCGGTACCTGTCGCCTACTTTTGGGGAGGGTGGAAGGCGTGGGGAGGATGGATGCTTGCGGTTCCGCTCTTAGCGGCTCGACCTTATTCGATTTGGGGAAATGCATCGTATATACTCCGTAGCGTGAAGAGAATGGGCAATCGGAGGACGATGTGACTATACTTGAACTGATCGGGTACTAGTTGATCCTATGGGTACGAAGAAACACCCCTTGTTCTGTTCGACCTCGAAACCCACCTTGTCAAGGGATAGCGGCCTTGCTTAAGCTTCAACAGACTACTATGCTAGTTACAGGCAGAAGTAGTGTCGGTGGGGCACTGGAAATCTTCGTTCTGCGCTAGAAACGGTATCATCAAACGAAAGCGCTTGTTGCCCATTGCCTTGGGGAAAGGGCCGTTCGGCGTATCCGAAGGATGATTTCGATGAGGAAGATCCTAGAAAATTCATAAGTTAGTAAGTCCGTAGAGGATCTTAAAACGCGCAAATAGCCAGAACATACGTCCAGAATTAATAGAATGGAGATACGACACCAAAATTTCAAGATGCGTATCAAAAGGGTAAAGCACGAGCTGCCTTGACGCCCCACCGACATATTTCTGCCTGTAACCGTAGTACTCCGTTCGGTTGACACATGATCGAAGATCCTGCCTAGGTACGGAGTACTCACAACGCACCCACAAAAGATGCTGTCGGCTAGTTTTGAAGAGGATCAGTGCATTTCGATTCCTAGGGAAACTGGAGATGAAATGGTATAGTGATGATGAAACAGTAGCTCCTCATGTACAAGGCATTTCAATTACGCTCGAGTCGTGACGAGAGGCTCTATTATGTCTAGTGCCATGGCCATAATACGTTCCGAATGAAGCTGATGCTCGCTCTTCCCGTGGAACAGACTTGTTATTTGGTAAAGAATGGTCTCCTGACTGGCGGCCCTGACTTGAGACTTGAATTACTTCGACCCTCGAAAAGTTCAGGCATACAGCGAGCCGGGGACTGCCTTGATGCAAAGCACGATTGGGCTGATGTGAAATATCTGCAAGTCGTTCGGTCTAGATGGAGAGAAATAAAAGGCGCACGTGTGAGGCTAGTAAAATCCTCTATTAAATCCCCTAAAAGCATCACCACAACTAATTGAGCCAGTTAATTTCAATCTTCACCGTAAAATCCCAACCGACGAACAAGCGGGGTTTTGGGTCCATAGAGATAAATTTACCTATCGGAACTCCCATGTCTACTTCTGATAGTCTTGTCTGTTAGAATTGAGCAAATTCAAAATGATCATTCACCACCCTGAGGCATATCCTCATGCAATTTATCGCTATCTTAACCACTTCAAGGAAAATAACTGGGATTGCACCGTCGACCATCGAGCGCCAACCAAAGATCTACGACGTCTTCTCCCGAGTAAATTTTCTGATCACCGTAAACATTCTTTCAGTACACCTATGCTCCAACATTAAGAACCGGCTTCAGATGCCACCTAATCATTGATGTTCCGACATCTGACAGATACTCTTCCCTCCAAACATGACTTCTGTATAGTTGATGAACGATCCGACCGCAATTTTGACATTCTGGATGATGTCGTCTGTTGTGGCATCAAAACAAGCCATCAGCGCATCAAACCCCAGCATCTTTGGCGTTCCCCATGGAGTGTCGTCGTCCTGTTCGCCCTGTGGAGTTTCATAGAGCCGACTAAAATACTCGCATTCTGTCTCTGGCTCATTACTGCGCCTGAGAGGTTCTTGATTCGTGCTGACTTCATGTTGAAGCGAGTTGAATAGAAGGTTTGCCTCAATTCTGCCGCGGTACGCACATGGCGATGATTGTCTGTCTCGAGGTGTTGCTATTTCCGCAACGGAAGATTCTGTAGCAAAAGAACGATCGAGTAGTGGATCGAATGTCGTTCGAGGCGAAGAGCGTTTATTTGGTGGTGTCTGGAAAGGATCTTCTCGACTTCCATCATTCTGCATTCCCTCGTCGGACCAAGCACTCTCAGACGAAGTGAAGACCCTGAACGCGCTTTTGTATTCGTCATCGTCATGAATAGACGACTGAATCTGTAAGGGGGGAGTGATGGAAGATCCGCGCTCGAAAGTATTACCCACCCAATCATACGTTCGAAGTGCTGCCATTTGAGTCAGAGCAACTTCATTCGCCTGTCGCTCTGACTCCGCCGCTTGAAGCGTCTCTTCCTCGGTCAATGAAAGCTCTGTTATCCAATCGCCCTCGTACCAGAGTATATCCCTGCTCATTTCATTCGATCGTTCTTCATTATCCTCCAAAGCTGGACATTGTTCACTCGCGAAGCTACCTGATCGATCTTGAAGCTGAGTGCTGTTGGGATGGTCATTGGAAAGATGCAACATGCGCGAGCGCTTTGGTGACGAAGCTGACACCAGTTTCGATTGTGCAAGTTTCACAAGGTCATTTGCGTCATGTGAGGGAATAGAGCTGCCCATGAAACCACCGTTACTTTCCACAGCCTTTTCAGTCGCTGAAGTCAAGCTTGGAGTTCGAAAACCACCTGCTTGTCGAACTTTTTCTTCTGTTGGATCCATCGAGTCTGCTAAGAAACCGCCCCTCTCTTTCGACTTTGGGTGTTTCTCAACACCAGGGTAGAGCTCCTCACCAATCATCCACGGGCTCTGAATTACTCTGGATTGTACTTTCCCATCTAGCATCGAGTCAGTATTCTGAAAACTCTCTAGGCGTCTTGAAAAGCTTACTACGAAAGTATAGATCATTGCGCTCGATCGAGTAAGAAGACATGATTCTACGCTAGGAGAACCACTTGCAACCAGGGTATGAGTATGATGCAAATGATAGAAAGGTTGTGGGCGCTTCATGCACCAGAGAGTCTGTGAGACCAAGTTATAACATGGGGAAATTCTTTACGTTGCCTACTTGTCTCTCTTCTGCACAATGAAAACAGAATACGCGCAAATAAGCCGAGTCATCTCTCTACTCATTGTATGCAGCATCCGACGTGTTCCACGCTCCTCAAGTAGGGAGCCAAGTTCGTTGTTTCAAGAAGAGGATGTGTTTACGGAGTGATTAAAAGAGAAAAGGGTGAGTGGCCCACATGAAATCCCATGGGCCAGAACTTCGTCTCAGAGTTCCATAGGCCAAACTACAACTCTGGCACTTGAAAATGGAGGCTGCTAAATAGGTTTGCAGATATTTGAAAGACGGCTCTGACCCATTGCTGCATTCTACAAGACCTTCTTCCACTGGCGGGCTTGGACATGGACTACTTGCAATGCAGGAGCTTTGGCCATTCTCATGTGCAATACAATACGTCGTCGCCTGCGTATTTGTTCCTACAGCCCATCCCCGGACCAGGTTTTCTACCTGGGTTGCGATATGATCTTGGTTGAGTACTGCACTGAGCGGAACACTTGTGATAAGGGAGACTGATCAAACCCCCACCCGGAATTTCTGAGGCTATCAGACTTTCCATAGGAGAAGCTTCCCTTTATTGGGAAGAAAAGTTCATTCTCGAGCCACGCATCACTATGGATGTTCCCCAACATTATGGCCAAGGCTTGGTTGTATAGGCTAAGACTGCTATGGTCTATGCAACAGACGACCTTGGAATCATCTGGGATGTCAAACCCGGCATCTTGCTCTGGCACATATCAAGCTCAGATGATGGAAATGAAACTGCACGTTCAATGTCGGATATTGGTAACATCATGCCAAGAGTTCCAATGAATGACCCAGTACTCCGTACTTTGATGTCTGATCGAAGTGCGATGTGCAAAAGCCAACATGCATCCGTGGAGAAAGGCATCTAAATTACTCAGAGGCAGGGCATGGTCTATTTCCGCATTGTGTTGGTGTGAGAGCAGCCCTACCTCCACAGCACTATTTCCTCCAATCAAAGTATACCTTAGCCCTATCCAAATATGCTTTTGAGGCTGGTCTTATACCAAAGTTCCTCTTTTCGGTTAGCTGAGGTGGATTGTCTAGCCTCGAAGCCTTCTAGGGCGTGCCACATGATTACACCCTGTTTAGGAAGTTCGAGTCGATGCTGATTGCATTCTCGTTCCAAGCAATTGGCACTGCGTTGCCAACCGCACAATGTCTGTCGGGTTCAGGGAACGTCGGACCAAATTACTACGATTCCTCAACATTGATCCCCTCTTCCACCTTTTTAATCGTAGCCTTGCCTGTATCAAATCATAGATCAGTGGGTCCATTCGACTCAAATTGAGTCAAATAAACCGAATCCGTGCTTTTGTCAAATCAAATCAAGAATTTGAAATTTGAAAAATTACTAGTACAGTAGTAGTCAGGTGGAAGTCTTCGCAGGAAAGTCTTTGCATTTCAAATACTCTGTATTCAGGGTAAAATTTGATGAAAAGATAAAAGTCTTGGCGGACACTTTTTATGGGATGAAAATCCTTGACACTGGCCGTCCTCATGACCAAACATGACTACCATTGGCAAATCCAATGCGGGTCATGACTTGAAAGTTTATTTGATTTGATGGATACACTGGTCTGGATGAAAGACAGAATGTCCTACAGTGAGGAGGCAATTTATTCTGAGGTGCAGCTTACATACTCCTTTCGGCCTGCCTGACACGGCTCTGGAGAACATGCCCCTCACCAACGCACCTATCACTTACCCAAACACCATGTCTAAGCGGCACTAGAGCAAACCGTGAGCGGCTACTTCTGGGCATATGACGGCTCGAACCTCATTGGTACTCCCCGTACGTCTCTTCTACGCAAAACAGCGTGGGAAAAGAGACCTTCAGATCCAACTACTACTACTGAGGATACCATGCCGACCTTGCCAGATTCTTTGCCCTTGCCCATGTTTCCTTGGCTGATGCCGCTATCTTCGCTTGGCAGGAAAAGTGGAATTTGGAGTTCTGGCGGCCCGAAGCGTCACTTACGGGTGTCCTGGAATGAACTGGCAACCCTATGGTCGACTCCTTCTGGCTGGAACTGGGTGCACCTGCAACCAACATGCAACGTTCGCTGAAGCCGGTTTCAAGCTGCTCGTTTGTTCTGCAATTTACTGCGTCAAGCGTCAAATTTGTCTTTCTAGTTTGTACACCTTACAACGAGGGTGAACGTCTCCTGGATTACATTTTCCAATGAATTCGTGGCCCAATATTGTAGTTACAGCACATTCGATCTACATTGACCTTGGGAGTGTTGATAGAATCTTTGTAGTCTTCAATGTGGGATTATTGGTTATTCTTCCCAAGAGTGACCTACTACGTAAATCAAGTCTTATTCTAAGCCCGGCGGTGATTAGGGAAATACATTACATTTAGGAGGCTGCTGCGGGTAATTCGTGTGGCCCTACAGAGCTATCGAAGATAGACCAGTACAGGCAGCAATTAATGGAAGCCATTTATAAAGTGAATTGCTATGCACCCTCGCATAGTATGAATGCTGGTTCGCATGAATGCGATTTCACTACACTCTTAGGATGTTTCTTTAAAACCAGGACCACAAATCTAGGAGATAAGAAACTCATTTCGCATGAAGACGGCGGAGGGTTTCATCTTGCTTTAATCCACACAATCTACGCTTTATCATCCAGTTCAGCAGGCTTCTCTCCTATCACATTCTAGCTAAGGCAGAGCTTTAAAGCTTGGTACTAGTACCCAGTCTCATCCTTCCAGCATTTCTACGAATAATGACTCCAGAGTTCCGAGGCGTTGCGGGGTTCGCAACGCCTAGTATCACTACGTCCCATATTGATGCTACGACCGTGAACCTCCAATTGAGAAAGAACATTCGAACGGCGTAAAACGAGGCGGACAAATATGCTAATTGAACTTTATGCCGAAAAGTACACCTCAATCGATGTCTTGGTGGATACTATGTCATCGAATGACCTTAGCCACTAGGGGCTAAATTATATCCACCACAATTTTGACCGAGATTTCGCCGAAATAGTTTGAGACAGCCTTTACCCAACTTCTGATTCCGAGGATTGATCAGACAGCTCTGGCGTTGGCATGCTACGGACCTCTCTCAATGACCATTCATTATAGAACACCTCCTTCCACTTAGCAACAATACGCTCCTGCCCGTTATGTTTAAGCACCTTTGATCTCCACCAATCTAACATCACGTTATAATCATCTATGTCAATTAGTCAGTAAAGTTCTCAGATTGTACGAACGGATACTGTCATACGACGAGCTTTGTGCCAACTCCAAGTTGGTAGCTTTCTAGCTATATTGGTGCCACGAGTTCTTGGGACCCGGGTTTTGTTTGCGTGAATCGTACCTATCAGTATTGCCATCTGCAGATTTGTGACAGGGGCCGGCTCGGCACAGTCGGATGTATCGATATAGGACGCAGATAATCGATCAGCATTCGTAGTGGTCGCCGACTGTCCATCCAAAGGCTGTAGGGCCATCTCTTCACGCTTCAAAAAGATCATTTGCCCTTGGAGTGCTGCTTTCATTACTGCTGCGACAAGACAGATCAGATGCTGGTTGATATTCGAGGAGAAGTCAAGACTTGAAAAATGATTGTTGTCTTTCTCAAAATACTTGAGCCAAAGTAATTGGAATAACGCCGGAGTTTCAAAGAAGCCCTAAAACCTTTAGCATAAATCCCAAGAGTCATGGACACTTACTGTTTGTTGACTTGGTGAACTGCAAAGAAATTGCATCTTGTCGAACAACCAATTGACATCTTGCAGATTTCGAACGCTCTTGCCAGTAACGAAGTCAAGCCTGTCTTGAATCAAGAGACTTCGACATCTCGATAGAAGATATGATCTGGTCTGACCTTGTTTCCGATGTAGCTGTCCGAGTTAAGTATCCCACACGATATATGAAGATGGTTTCGTACCTGTAAGAGCGTTTTAGAGTCGAGCTCTATATCCTGCCAAATTGCCTTAGTCTGCCGCTCTTCCATCCAAAGCTTCCGAATTAGCTGTTCTGAATCGATAGACCCAGCATGCTTCTTTCCTCGGACACGAATATTGAAATGCATCGATGAAGAATGTAGAATGCTCAATTATCGTTTCCAAATGCTGTTTCAGCCGCTCTTTTGGAGTTTCTGCCTCAATAGGTTGACAAACGTCGCCGGTGGTGTTTGGCTTTAGGGTAGAAGCTAATAGAGATTCTGAGGATACTAGTTTGTCTGAGTCTCGATTGAACGCGGGACCAGGGTCTGAACTAAGATCAGGCGATGATGTTGCTGTCGCTGGTATATTCCTTGTTGTGGTGTCAGTAGGAAGTAGTGACTTTCCGGAGCGTTTGTAAGGATACCGATCAGAGACGAACGCAGGAGTCGGTAGCACCAGATCGGGGACGCGGAGATGAGCACTTTCTTCTCTTCTGATTTGCAAACCATAAGTACTAGATATTATTGCACACATTGAGTACTGACTTGCCTTTTTGGGTATGAGCTCGAGTGGTTCGTCCTTACTTGAAACTTCAATTGTATCGGCAGTCTGATCGGGAAAATGATCGCTCAAATTCGGAGCTGTACGTCGACGTTTAGGCGGAGAGGTGTGCTGTTCAACATCATCAGAGAATATAAGAGTTTTTGGATGGTTGATATGATTGTGTATTAACCATGTCGCTTCTGTGTATGTCATAGCCTTGCTGCGAAGATATTGGTCGTTTCCTTAGGGTGTGCCGAAGTTTTTGAGATGGTATCGTGGTAGAGCTGTATTATATCTGGATTAGCTGACATCATAAGGGATTAGAGAATGTTTTTCTAGCACTGAGGACTCTGACATATTGAAGGTACAAAGTGGTTGTATACCGAATGTAAAGACTCGTTGAGATGTGACATACTAGTAGAGAGTGGCTTGAAGACTTGTTATGTTGATTGGGTCTGGATTTAGTTGAGGGCTAAGCTCTATTCTAGCCTCCTCAAGTTGCACATTCTGAAGATCATGCTGGAGGCTTCCGAGGCCGGGTGCAACAACTCGTGGCCGACTCTCTGCCGAAACTCACACTTAAAGAGCGGCCACGAATTGTTACACCCGGCCTCAGAAGTCATAAAGTTCTGCCAAGCATACAAGGGAAAGATCATAAAGTTCATTCTCCAGCAATAGTATGACAATGGCCGCTAATCCGCTCTGCCTTTCCGCTTCCCTTTCATGTGATGCACCAAATTGTCCCTCCACTGGCGGCCTCTGCTTTTGTCATCGTTTCGTTTGTATACCTTAAGTCTGGTCATCATTTGCTTCGATATGCTTTTTTCTGGTTTGTCATCGCTCTCATATTTCCGAAGAAGCTGGCCAAGTTGGGGTCGATCTTCATCCGACATCACCTACGTACCTGGTTCTGCATTCTCGATCTCCTTGACAACACGGCCAAACATGTCGCGCAGCGTCCGAAAGAGGTGATTCCATTGACGAGGTTGACTTCCCGGAACTGGCCAGGCACAATTGATTGCAACGCTGAGGATGAGAAGGCGACTGAGGAGACGATTCCCTGTGATCAAGGTCAGTCGGGTCTTCCAATAGTGACATCCCGTTTACCACTACAAGGCCAGTACTTCTCCACCGCCATATCATAAATATTCTCGAATATCTCTGGGTCCTCCGCCTTATCCATCATGAAATGCATAAGTGATGTTTGAGCATCGGCTGCTAGATTTACCTGACGAAGCTGCCGTATCTCTGACCGGAACGCCTCGCTATAATTGGTGGGGGCCAAAATTGCATGTCGAGCATCCTTCAATCACGCAACTACCTCCAGCTTGACAGCCTCAATATCCTCTTTGACTTGCTGCTGTTTTGTGGTCTGAAGGTGAAGTTCTGCGTTCTCAGCAACCAAATTTTCGAATCCTCAAGCTTACCATTCAGAGTGCGACACTGATCTTGGAATTGGGCAAGTTCCGCCTCCAGCTTCGGTAAGTTGGCCTAGAGTAGGCTAATATCCGCGGACGAGATCATACTTAAGTCGCTTCCTAAGCAAGCGCTCCGTCAAATGCGTCTGGAACGGCCAAAGTATCTTTGCTGCCATTGACCCAGCCGACCAGATCCTCTTTCGCCAGCGCTCCTTCTCTTAAACTTTGGGGCCTCGTGCTGATCGGCCAGGCCAATTTTATCCTATCAGTGGAGTCCCTTGGGGATAGGATTTGCCAATGATGCCCTTGTAAATAGCCCCAAGCCAACACTCGAGGATAAGCAGCTAGGCGGAAAAAACAAGTTCGGAGATCTTCCAAGTGATTTTAGCCACCTCTAAGCTCAATCCTTGACAGCAGCCATGCTCTTCCTCAGCTCCCTCTGCCGCTGCCGACTCTCCAGCTCAAGCCTGCCCACAGCATACTGTAGTCTTTCCTTCTTCTGCCGCAATCTCTTCAATTCTAATGCCTTCACACCGTTCACATCCTTCCCACTACCTTGCCTCGCTCGATCAGGCACCGGCTTAGCTTCCAAAGCACTGTCTCTTCGCCTTCGATCACTCTCTAATCTTCCCTCTAAGAGCTCACTCCGCGCCCTCAGACTCTCCTCCCGCCGTCCCAATTGTGTGATGTGCGCCTCGGCGGTGCCCAGTAGTCCGGTGATGGCTGGTGTGATCTCGTCGAGAATGGACTGTTGGGCTGTGCGTAAAGTAGGTTCGGGAAGTAATTCGAAATGTTGCTGTGTGGTGAGAACTTTTTGCAATCGGCGGTAGTCGGATACGCCGGTATCAAGTAGGTTGATGCTAGATTCGAGGAGGGAGATCGAGGATCGTAGTGAGCTCACTGCTGGACCGAGAGATGACATGCTCGCTACACGTGTGTTGTGAGGTCTCGAAGACCCTTTCAGCAGCAGGCTTGTACGCATAAAACTGCGGTAGTCACTGTTGTCGCTGGTGTTCCTTACGAACGGCAGCTTAGCCGACAAGCTCCGAGATTTGCCTAGCGTTATTTGCGGAGCTTCAACCACGAGCTCAAAGCTCCACGTTACAAAGGTGTGTCACTACAATCGAATCACAAAGTACAGCACACTCTTTCACTACCTCCGAGATGGGGCTCTTACCAAAGAAGTTTCCAGGCAAATTTGGTGCGTACCACAATCTTTATTCGAAGCTCAATTGCTGATGTCTTGTTTGAATAGCCGAACCAATGTGGCCCTTCATGGCTGCTGGACTCATTGTTGCATGGGGAATCAATACGGGTGCGAATGCAATGATGGCTTGTACGGTTCCCTTTCCTACGGACCACACTTTGAATGCTCCTGCAACGGCTTCCTGGACCGCCGAGAATGACACATCTAGCTAACCTCCTTGTTCCTGACTAGCCGACGAATACAGGAACGATCCTCGAAATCCCAACGCAAAGATAGATACAGACAGACCGGCCAAGTGAGCGAGAGCGGAAAAAGGATGGTGGACCGGATGGTGGACCAGAAGGAAGGAAACGGACCAGTGCATATTCTAGATGCTGCATTGTACATACTACAGCTTATAGACGAGGTGAGATCACGGAGAAAATCAGATTCCAAAATCACATCTTGTTGCCCCATTTTCCGTGGGTAACCCCTGAGAATTACTATAAGTCTAGGGAATGCTTGAGGGATTGAGCCAGCAGTACTACTAGTAGTACGGTAGCCTGGTCCTACACCAATTCAACGTGTCTTCTTCAAAGTCCGGTGTAGGCTGTACGGGTTTACTTGGGTTTCCTGCCTTTGATTCAGCCATTGCCTGCCTTCGTAGATGTCAAATTTGTTGCTTGTAGTAGACCTCCGTCTAATTCCAGTGTCACGGTTGGCATGTATATATAAGTCTTGGCGTTCCGGACTGGAAGCGTAAGCGATGGTCTCGAGATCAACACCATCATCCAACCTTCAACGACGCCATTCTTCCAAGTGGACAACCATGTCTCAATTTAGAGCGAAGCGCCTCGACATAGGAGGGTTCATCAACTCAAAGATCATCCGCGATCACACCAAACGGAAAGTCTTTGAGCAACATGAACCGGAAAGGTGAGCATGCCCCATGGGGACATAATATTACTCGAATTATATCCGTCCCTCGTCCCCAACATTCCAATCTGGCCAGCTCTTCACACAGTATATCTATGCGCGATCCCTCTGGCTAACAGGCAGCGCAACCAGACAAGCCCTCCGATACCTGATCCGAAACACAACCCTACCACAAAGCGTACGAGACAAGGCGAAACTACAGTTAGCACGAATGCATTGCTATACCCGATCGACGGCGATCAGGAACAGATGTATCATGGGAGGCGTGGCAAAGGGGGTTTTCAGAGATTTCCGGATGGGAAGGGTGAGTCCTACCCAACCTCTGGCAATCTGAGAGCACCATACCTCTGTACACGGGAAATAGAGATGAGAAGCAACCAAGACTGACGCTCCATCCTGCAGTTCCAATTCCGAATGAATGCGCTTGCAGGAAACTTACCGGGGGTGAAAAAGGCGAGTTGGTGATCTGCTGTATGTCATACTGGAGGCGACAATAGCATGGGAATAGCACTGGGTCGGCATCCACCGCACCAGAAGAATTACATGAAGCGGCATACTCTCTGTGCAATATTCACCCACAGGCCTGGAAGCTTTCTGGGGCACTTATCACCCATCAACCCACATCCCCACCTACGGCTTGACACCGCTTCCTGGAGAATAAAGCTGGCAGCCAGACTCCTTGGCTGGGAGGATGGCAGGCGTGGCAGGCATAAGAGACACCATTCCACCTTTCAGCGCCCTCTTCCACAGCTGTTTTCCGTTGTCGGACCGCTCCCTCACTCTTTGAAATTTCCTGCATCCTTCCCAATTCGGCTAGTTGCATTGGCAACCTCATAACTTCTAACTAGTGACTTTACTGCTGATCGTCAGGCTTTCGATTCAAATTCTTATTTCTTGTATACTGTTTGTGCTTCGACCCAAATTTCCATCTTCTTCTTTCTCGTCTCTCCGCATCATTGTTGTTGTCTACTCTCAATCATCTGCTCCTTATCAACTTCATCCGTCACTGAAGAACTTTCAATCCTAGGATCTCTTCGCAGCTTAACCCGATCCCTCCTGTTCCTGGTTCACTCCTCTGGTTCGATTTCATTTCCATCTCAGCCCGTCATCAGCATGTTTCGTCGTCTCTCAGAAAGCCTGCCGAAAGATCCAGTCTTCCCAGCAGACTTAGAGAAGCTAGGGTAGTAGAATCCAACCTCGTCTCCCTCTTCCTTCCGCTAACCTTCATCTGCAAGCTACTTCATCAATCAGCATGATCAGATCCGCATGATCAGCCACCCAACAGAGAACTATCACTACAGAATCAATCATCGAGAACGTATCAATGAACTCTACAAAGAAGCCCACAACAGTACTCACACGCGCTCTGAAATTCCCTTTTCCTCCCTTCCCAACAGCTAACTCCTTCAAGCATGCATCCGCCGCGAGGTGCTAACCCGCCTCCACTCCCTCAACCTGCACACCCTCCGCCTCCCCCTCAACACACCTGAGTCTTCCCCACACATCCCCATCCTCACCTCCGCCAACCTCTCCACCGCCAAGCGCGTGGTAATCTACTTCGGCGAACGCAACCAGGACCTAGGAATCTTCGCCTACCGCATCATCGGCGGCGACGATGGCATCAACGCCGGGTCCGCCGTTGATTTCGTCAAAGGCATCCAAAGCGGCGCTGCTTCCGGTCCTGGCGACGAAGAGGAAGAGGCTCCTGCTATCGTGATCGCGAATCCAGGACAGCTGATCTGGTGTCGTAGTCAGGGTCGCGCGATGGGGAGGAGGGAGTGGGAGAATCTTCCTATGGAGTCGGCCGTGCATCCGGGCTTCAGGTTGGATGAGGAGACGGGGAGGAATTTGGTGGAGGGGAATAGGGATGAGGTGGAGCATGTGGAGTCTGTGTTTGAACATGTTTTAAGGGGTGCTGGAGGCGGGAGGGCGAGGATTGATGTGATTGGATCGGAGTGGACGGGTGCGGCGGTGGTGAGGTATTTGGGGAGGCATTGTAAGTTCTACTTCCTCTCCCCTTCCCATAATGTGGTGATGTATGGAGTTAGCTGCTGATCTGAATAAGGGGCAACCTGGTCCACCCGCATGAACGGAATCTGCCTCATCGCTCCTCTTCATGGACTTGAAGACCTGCTACCACACAGCCCCGATCCAGCCAGCACCAGCACGGATTCCACCACACAAATGACGGTTGCTTCCTCATTCGCATATTTTATTTCCACCCGCTGCCGCGGTTACGTCGTGGACAAAGCACCAATTGGCACCCTGGTCGAAGGCCGCGCAGAGTTCGGCTGCAATGTGTATGCCAGTGGCGAGCACCATTATGTCGAGTGCATCATGATCAGGGCATGGAGGGACATGCTTGGCTGGTTTGGCAGGTTGAGCAGGGGAGAGCACGGGGCGGAGGAGAAGTGGGAGATGCCTGAATCTGGACTGCGAAAGGAGAACGGAGAAGAGGAAGGACATACGGTGGGAAAGGTGGATGAGATGTGGGCTCCAGATGTTGGGCTTTCAAGTGCTGCGAAGTAGATGTGTATTTGCTTGATAAGGCAGCCCTCCAGGTCATTCCGGACGCCTAGCATGCAACGGCTACCCTACCATGGGGCAAAGATCTAGGGCAAATTGAAATCTGGACTTAATGGACGGTGGCTGGGCAGCCTGCCGCAAGTGTCGTTGTAGACAAAGCTCTATATCATGAAGTGGATGGGTATCTCCTTGATCAAGCACCGGCATATGCAGCCGTGATCTCTCTCTCCCAATTCGCCATCTGCATTGCTTTCTTCGAGAATCGTACAAACCGGAAATGGAATCCGGTAGACCCGTGAGTAGTGGGCGCTCGATGCCGGTACTGGCGCTAGAGATTCCTGCTTCTTGTTATGACCTCAGCGTATGCTGGGTGACTCGGTGCTAGCCACGTACTTAGAGATCGCTTTTGCATGGCAACGGTTGTTCCAAATACGAGCTTGCCAGACTCTCCCTAGCAGTTTGCACTTTGCCATGGCTTGACGTCCAAGAATGAATTTTGCTAGGCTGAAAGGAAAGGGTATCTTGCTGAAAGACGCCATGGTATGCTGCTTTGATGGTTTCCAGAACACGCCGCCTATGCCGCTCCATTCTCTTATCGTACAGTGACTTGTAGTGAAGCCGGGGATTACGCTGTGGTGCCAAAAAGTCTCAGGATAACTTCGTACCTGTTTGGGAAGTTAACAGATCGTCCAAGCTGTTCCAGACGGACATTTCCTTACATGCCAAACATAATTGCAGCGCTCGGTACGACGCGGAGTAGGTGTGGCTGGGTAAGAGATTAGCTGCTTGAGAAGACAATTTGGATGGTGGTGAAATTACCGTCCTGGTTCGCAGTCAGTAAGTTGGTCAAGGAATGCAGGGAGGGGTGTTCTTACATGCCACCATACAATCCAGCCATGCCTTCCTCCTTCCAGACCGTGGCAAAGCACTGCCCCAGGCCTGTATATTTGATCTGAACCTTCCCAGTCTCAGTTACGATTGTCGGGGCTTGTCGTAACCTGGTTCTGACCACCTCATGCGGGTATGTGATAACAGCAGCGAACAGCTTCGCCCCGGCTGCGACGGTGAATTTCCCACCCCAGACCTCCGCATCGTGTAAGAGTGTCTGTTTATGTCTCGGATCGGCCAGTCTTCGGGCTTCTCTCCGCGCAAGGGACAGCTTCATGCGCTCATAGAGAACCCATTGAAGTGTCGATTCTGTGACGCCAAGGTAGGACGCTGACAAACCTCGGTAGAGACCTTTGATACCTTCATGGCGAACTGTCTGCCTGATACAGTCCCAGCTATTTCGATATTGTCTTCCTCGGGTCGGGTCGTTGGTCGCAGTATTCTTGTCTAGCTGCAGCCTTGTTTTGACTAGCCAGATGGGATTTGTGGTTGTTCCGGTGGCAATACCTGCGATCGCGGCTGCTGTGAGGTGTATTGACCACACGTTCTCACGCCCTTCCGGGTTAAATCGTTCGTTCAGTATTCGCTTGCCATTCCCGTAGACAAAGAAGTTGATGCTCCTTGCAGGCACCACACCAATAAGGTTAGCTCCCAAACCTCTGAACAAGGCGCGGAAGCCTTCATGAGTATAGATGGACTGCAGTATTTGCATGGTCTCGCGAAAATGAATGTAGCCGGATCGTAGTGGCGATCTGCTATGAATACGTGGTTGCGAGGCATGGAGAGCACGAAGTTGGGATTGGTAGAAATCGGATTGGAGACGAGTTTTGACGACGTCAAGGGGACAGGTGAGAGTCGCTGCAGTCATACCACCGAGCCTACATTTGATCAGCATGCAGACGAGAAAGACGTTCAAGCGGCGAGTACCCTCCAGCGACGAAATGTGCCCATGGCTTCGCCAACGATTCGTTCTTGGTTATAGGTCCTCCATTTTGAGCTGTGTCTGGCACCGCCTCTCTGGTCTCTGTTGACTGGCTCTGCGATGTGAGGCTTGACGGTGGGCTATTGAGAGATCCCTTGCCGTAGATTGCAGAAGTAAAGGTCATGAACAAGGATGTGGCGTCTGGGCTGCAGCAAGTGGTACAATTGAATTGGAAAAGGTACTGTTGAGACAATAGCAGGCTCGAGCGGGCCAAATTTCTAAAGAAGATCCGGTAAAAAGATTACGCAAGTATTGTACAACGAAGGATTTTCAAATGTCTATGTTCAGGTCTTGCAGTTGACATTATCTCTGCCTGCCAAAGTTGCAGGCCCGGAAAACTTTTAGCGTCAGCAAAAGGAGCTCCTCCGCCCTTCTCCGCCGCCCCCTTCCACTAGCACAACACTTACCCTCTTACCAGTTACAGGAGCGAACCAATCCACCGATGGCGATGTGAAATAAGTCCAGCAATGGCCGGTGACGTTGCAAGAAGCTTTGTATTTGTCAGATCGCAGCGTGTGAATGCCTGGCGAGATGTCAGGCTCACAAGACCAAAGTCAAGCCACGTCAAGAAGCCATCGCCTCGAGCTGTAAAGACCCATGAGATGAAGAAGATTCCGTCTGGAAAACTACCCTGCGTCTTTTCAAGTCTCTATGCCGATGCTTCTGGAATGTTCGTCTCCGAAGCTACACAGGAGAGTTATAGCGGTAGTCGGGCAATCAGTTGATGACGAGCTCCTCCACAATGTCGAACATGGTGTTCTTGCAAGGCAGTGACTAGTCTTCCGTTGAGCCTGGTATCCCATATTGGTCTTGTCTAAACTGCTCTTGGTGTTGCAGGCCAAGAGCCCTTGACGCAGGCGAATCTCCCTGAATCTCTTTGCCAAAGAAGCATCAGCGTTAGACTCATAAGCACAGCCTATCCTTCATCACCCATTTCCCATCCGATCGCAAAAGAATTCTTTTCAAGCTTCAATATCGCCTCCTCGATTAAATATTCTATCTTTGCCTTGCCAGCATTGCCCCTTCTCACATGCTGTGGCGTTGCTGCGTTGTTCGAACAATGACAACATTTGCTGTTCTCGCGTTTCTTCTGTACATCTCTGCCTTGGGTTGAGCAAGCGATATGATTTCAGTGTACATCCTATGCAGTCAACCTTCTCCGGGTGACCTCCCATGCAATGAGACGAGCGTCAAGAAAACGTAGGAGTCAATGTTCTGAGGCCGTCATTTTTAAAACAGTACATCTCTGTTAGGCATTCACGGGCTAGCATAATGGGCAGCATCATAGTGCATGTATTTTATTATCTTCCTGCGGTGTTGCCCCTTGATGTGTTGTGGGCTTCGTTCACACACCTCTCGAAATCTTCCCACAACCTTCCTTCTGCCACCAAAGCAGCTCGCCATATCAAATACCCTCTCAACTCATCTCCGTCGCTCGTACTTAACACAATGACTGGTTGAGTGGAGTCAAAGTCGTGTTGAGAATATCGTGCAGTCAGTTCAACCCCTTTCCTCGAATCCCAACTACCTTCCCGGCCTGATTTTTACTCCATCCTAAAGGGAAATTGAGTTCAGCGATATCTGTGCTGATATTTCTAGCCTCCAACAGTTAGTTCTCCCTACTCTCACCTCGAATTTCCTGTTGCGTTCCTCATCCAGCTCTCATTGACGTAGCCAAAGAAAACCCCGTTTCAAAAACAACATGGCCGCCGCGTCGGAAGAGAGCTCATCTTCGAGTCAAGAAGCGATGCTACCAACTCCATCTTCTAGTCAATCTTCGATAAACCAACGCGATAGGTCTAAAACTGTGGCCATCGAGTATGTTCAGATGCATGAAGATCCAAATCCACATCTCGAAGTCAGGTGCATTGTGCGCAATGCTTTGACCGGTGAGGATATTCGTCACGCAGTCGCAGAATTCTGGTTAGAGGGCAACGATATGCTTGATGCCCCACGACGCGTATTGAGGGTAAGACTTGTGGACGACAACACTGGCCAAACACTGAAGGATGAGACCGACCAGGTCGAAGGGACATCCCTCCGATTTAGCTATACTGCAGCAGTTGTATCCGGTGTTGATGAGATTCCAGAGGAATGGCCAGTCGAGGTCAAAGATTCCGTTGCGTGTTTGGCGATCTATCGGAAGGACGGTTTGGCAACAATCTCACCTGCGAAATTGATTGGAGGCTCTCCTCGGGCTGTGTTCAAATATCTCAAAAATAACACCCCGGGTAACTTGTGGAAACCCTACATGAACGAACGGCCTCAGGTGACTTGGGAAAACCTGGACAAGCTGTACAGCGAAGAAGGACCTCTGGCAATCAGCTGCCCTGTACAACAATGCGCTGCTCGCTGTCATTTTTCCTCGCCTGAAGAAGCTCAGAGCAAGCTTGTTGTGGCTCGCTACAACGATCAAAAGTGGGAAGAAAAAATGTTTCTAGAGCTGTGCAAGGGCAAATTTAACGCAGCATTCTTCTTCTTGGGGCCGAGAACAGCAATTGCATGTCTTAGACGCAAAGATCCCGGAGTCGCCATCGATCCGAATGCCGTCTGGGACGAGCGAATGAATGTTGTTATTAAATTCGAGGTCGAGGTTGAGGATATTTGGGGCGACCCCGACGATTCCGACGTGACGGACGAGACCGAAACCACGGTACGCCTCGTTGGTAATGTTGTATCCAACCAGACACCTGTCAATTGCGAAATCGTTGTGCTACTACAGTGGATACCTTGGGAGCTATACAAATTCATTCGGCCGTTGACAGAGCCCCCAAACTTCATTGACCTAAGCGACGTACAGATTGAGGTCAACGACCAACCCGCAAGGAACCAAGTAAAATCACTAAACACATTCTTCGATCGGAAGGAAGGCAAATTTGAGAAATGGTGGCCTATGCTATTGGCACAAGGAGCAAGCAGGGCGCCGCGAGTGAATTTTTTGAGCAAAATAGGTTGGACGAAGCAGCATTTCGAACTTGTCCAGGATAAGATCACAAAGAGAATGCTTGCCGCTGGCAAGCCGCTCAATCTGGAGCAGAGGAATATTCTTGCAGATGCTCCGTACTCCAGAGCTGGTTTCAAGGTGATTGTGGGTCCGCCTGGCTGCGACAAGACGACATTGATCGCAATGCTTGCTGGTCTATACGCTCAAGATTCGAAGGTAGGCGTCCTGGTTGCAGCCTCGTCAAATGGAAGCACCGATCGATTGTTCGAAACCGTGAATGACTGGGAGCGGAACGACCCGAGGGCAGATACAAGTCCTCTGCCTCTTCACGTTCATAAGAAACAAGACGAGTTCAACTACTTCTGGAGCGTACTCAACCCTGCGGAGTCAACAGCCCGAAAACAGACTCAAGATGATCGATCATCGCTGATACTAAAAGAAGCTGACGATTCACCTCGACGCTTCTCCTACGAGCGGCAGCAAGACGCTGAGAAACGGAAGCATCTGAGTGATGTCAACAGTGGTGTAGGAGCCATGGTTTTGAAGGCTGTACAGGATGGTGAGCTTCCTGCAGTACGTGCTTCGGGCAATCCTGCTAGCAAACGCATGCATGATGCCCACCGTGCTCGAGCTGCTAGCAGTCTTTCTGTCTTAATGCGCTACCGCATCCAGCTTAAGAATGACACCTCTAAACATCTTCGGCCTGCTGACAATTTTGCCATCAGAAAAGCGTTCGAGGCCGTCGCTAGATACATGATTGGTACCAAACGACTCATCGTCTCCACCGTTGGAAATGCTACAAGCACAATTCTCAAGGACTGCATATTTCGAGATGCAAAGCATGTTGTCTTGATCATGGATGAAGCTGGACTGGCCACAGATGCCGATCTAATCCATCTCATAGTGTCATTGATCACCCCAGAACGTATCGAGGCTGAGTTCGGTGGTGAGAATCCTATCCTGACGGTTGTGCTGGTTGGAGACGAACGACAAGGTTGTCCACTTATAAAGAGTGATATTGCTAAGGCAAATGTCTTCGGGCCCCAACTTTCCATGTCACCGTTTTTGAGATGCGCCTTGAGCGGCTTTCCTATGGCCCATCTCTGGGAACAACATCGCATGGTCCCCGTCATTTGTAAGTTGCCAAGCACTCGTGGTTATGAGGGCAAATTGCGCACCTCAGATGAAGCTATGTGTCGTCGTATGTCCATTCCGCAGCGCACTATCCTCATGGACCTCCTAGAATTTGATTCCTTAAAACTCAAGTATCCGCCGAACGAAGACCCCATTAGAGCACAAGATCAGCATCTCCGTTATTGGTTGCTCGATGTTCGTCATGGTTCCACACAGACTGATATAGCTATGAACAAATCGAAGTTCAATGTTGCGAACGTTGACGTGACTATGAAGTTTTTGAAGGCTTTGATCCAGTCTGAATTTCTGCCTCCCGAGATTCGTATAACTTTCTACCGCGCCCAATGTCAGCGCTACATCGCTGCAATCGCCGCTCTGGAAGCAGAGCTCGGTATGAGAGAAGGCCAGCTTCATGGTCTTGTCCACACAAGCGACTCCTTCCAAGGTCAGGAAGCGACGTGCATCATACTGGACCTCGTAGTCACAAGATACTATGGTGAGAATACCATGGGGCACGCTGGTAACGAGAAGAAAGCAAATGTCGCCTTCACAAGAGCAAGAGATTTTCTGTTTGTGGTTGGCGACTCCACCATCTTGGACTCTCCATATCTTGGCGACAAGCATGGAATGGTTGAATTCATTTTTGCAGTTATGGTGGATCTACTGACACGACAGGCTGTCAAGGTATGCTACTCAGACAAGACACCAGAGCCTGAGCTTGTAGACCGTTTCAACAAACTGAGTACAGAAGACGATGGGGCCAACTTTGTTGAGACGAAGGAGGTGGACTGAGTAAGTTGTGGATGATGGATGCTAAGTCGGATACAATGAGGACGCAGGTATGGCAAAGAACTGGTCGATGGAAGCATGATGTGATAGTTGATTGCTTCGCTGGTAACCCGATAGGAGCTCGAATTCGACAGGACATGTCTCATTCACGAGTGCACACGTCAGGTATGTCTGTGAGGCGATGAGGTCCGTAGGGCAAATCAGAGCTTAGATAGCAACAAGCGCACCAGTGTTCTTGGTTGGCTCCTCCACGAAAGTAAGTGGTCTTCCACACCGATTTGAAATTGCAGATTGGTGAGACGCCTGCGGGAATCAGAAAGCTTGATACTTCATTTCACATCAGGCAAAACTCTGGTTGAGTAATTCTTTCTCTTTATTACCACACCCGACCAACCGCCCGAGACATGATCCTCTTTCAGGTATCTTGCATTGCAGAAGGCGTGTACGATAAACTAGATGATTAGACAAAGAAAGGTAGGCAGAGTGGAATGTCAGTATCTGGAGAACGTCATGAAGCCTGGGTAGGACAAGCTTTAATAGCTCTTTGCCGATCTTATTACTTGCACCAAGCCAGTGAGATATGACGACTTACAAGTCGAGGTCCGTAGCGGAAGAGTCACTGGCCTGTTCACTCCGTGTTGCGTATTAGCAAATACTCCATTCATTTCAAGTAGTTAATGCAGAACAAGGAACTGCCGCTCGGGCGATGATGCATAGGGGTGAGGTGGCCAAGCCAAGACCGACCGGCGGTGGGCTGCTCACCACGGCTCACCTGGTCAATGACACCTGCGTGTACATAATTCGAGAGAACAGTTTATATGTAATGCTGATAGCTTTAGGGACCTCTATCTCATTTTACACATCTTCTACCATGTTTTGCATAAATATCACCTGTAGACTTTATGAATTTTCTTAAGAAGCTATCTCTGCCCCCAGAAAGCTAGAGAATAATTTAATGCTACCTGCTATGCCCTGAAATATGCAACCCTTCCTACTTAGGATCGTTCTCTCTAAAGATAGCTGACTGACTATGCCATTTGTCTCAACAGTCACTGATAACTAGCATGATCCATTAAATACCATGTCAACAAGCATATTCATTATTAAATCAATCTATTTACTTCTAAATTTTAATCAGAATTAATTGGCCGACTGGCCCAATGGCAAGGCGTAAGTGAGTTTATCTCTTGAAGAATTCTCATAATAATGATGGTTAGGCTTGACTACGAATCAAGAGGTAATAATAAGACCTAACTCTTGACCAAAGTTAATATTAATTCAATGTAGATTGCGGGTTCGAATCCCGTGTTGGTCAGCAAATTTTTGGTTTCTCTTTCTTTTTAAGTCTCTTTGATGTTTTTTACTTGTACAGAGTCGTTCTTCATTTCGACTTCTTGGTTGATATTCAAGACAAGCAAGCCACACATATCCATGTGTCATTGCATTGAGTGCTTTCTCTTATTAGAATTACTACCTACTACTCTCGCCCATCTAGCGTAATAAATCTTGGCAACAGAAACATTAAAACTTCATATTTTTGCTGTAGTCTTGGCAACCGAGCCGCAACCTTGACAAGAGGAACACTAATTGTCCGCGAGCATATGCAGAGGATGCAGAAGCCGAGGATCCCGCAAGTCGTTTAAGCATCAGAGTGGTGGCGAAGACTCTAGCAGACGACCTTTGAGTGTTTGGCTTGCTGTAAATGGTCATCGGAGTGTGCAACGTAAATACGTCCGTCGATCTGCTCGAAGGGGTATCAGAGGCTGAAATCCACCGTCAGCCCCGCAGGTAGCCCCCCGTCCAGATGTTATTCGAGGCCGCAAATCTGTTGAGACAGAGATTGACCTAGTCCTATGCTAATAGTGATAAATGTATATGTTGGTGTATTTCCGGCCGATGTTCATGACGAAATAGAGCTTGCAGTACAGGGCACCACTGAGAAGCATTGCGATAGGATATAATATAGATTGTCCATTGCTCAGATAAGCTCTCAGCTGGAAGATAGCTTTCTGCATTGACGAATTGCTTTAAGGGGTCAGAATTGTTTGCTGGGCCGGCAGTTCGAAAGGGAATAAGCTGGAGGGTACATGCGCAAGATGAGGCCTGTCAGGCGCTTCCAAGGCTTAGATACCAATCACTGACCTTGATTTCCTTGAACCGTTCCTATACGTAAATGCCCAGTCTCCCAACTTCCTCGCGTATAGCAGAACGTCAATACTCGCGTTAGAGATAAGAGATATGAGTACGTGTTGTGTCACACGGTCTTAAAGTGGGGTCAAAGAAGCCCCCCGATTGACCATAGGTCGAATGAAGCGAGTCAACCTTCGTTTACAGCTATGTTCCTACTGATGCATACCTTTATGGTGGAGCGCTTGTGCCGAGAAGTTGCCAATTAGGCATTGGAGAAGGGAAGAGGGTGACCATAGACGAAGACACATCAAAGAACGTACGTAGTAGACGACAATCAACATACAATCCATCCACTTTGCCAGCTGCGGTACTTGTTTGATCACAGGAATGTCAAAGGGGAGGTGGCTTACAAGAAATAATGTGAATCGGTGACTTACGTATTAGCGGTTAGGTCATATTGGTACCTGGCCTCAGTATCGTAACCTCATACAAAGAATGAGCAAGCATGCTCGTCTTCGTAGTGCGGGAAGGAAGGCGATTGCTCCTTTGAGTAGGAGATATCGCTGCACCAGTACCATCATTTGCTCGGGAGAGCTTCGTAAAATGATAAGGTGTCGCAAGCGATGCCCAGTTTGAGAATCTCGTGGTCGAGTGCCAGAAGGCCAATCATTCATGTGGCCAGGCACCTTTGTTTGTTTGCACTCCTCCCCTGCTATCGTAATCTGCTTGTATTCTGTGCAACGTAACCTTGGCTGTAAGTCCAACTCTCGACATCATGATGACATGACCGCGATCATGCCAGCCATCATGCCAGCGTCATAGCTGGGGCTTTGTTTGGTCACCTTTGATCTTGAAACGTAGTGGATGGCAGAGGAACATGGGTGGTGAAGAAGGTTCAAGGCTCGAGCCAAGCGTTGGACCTGACGGGCAGATCAGCGGGAGGAATTTTGTGGGGACCAGATTCCCGTTGGTGCCGTTTCTGCAGTGTTGTCACGTTGCAAGTTAGACCTGCAAGGTAGCGCCAAGATAAGAAAATACGAATGTGCCGTGATTTCCCCAATCAACGACAAACAGAGCTTCCAATGCGATCGGGCGGGCTGGGTTGCCTGATAGCTGCGTGGCTGTTCCAGCTGTCCACATCTTATCGTGATCGATGAATCGTTTCTTTCTATGGGTTGTACGGAGTACGTCAGGAGAGGCCAGATGGAGAGACGGGGGATAAGCTTGCCAATGGTGTACCAACGCCCACCTCGGTTGCAATCGTGACTTGTGACTTGCGCCTGACCCATCGTGTATCGCGACTGCCGTTGTGGATGACCGTGATGTCGTACCTACATTCACTCAGCTGCCGCCTGCAAGTAACCTTCTCTCTCTCCCTTCAAATACTTCTTCTGCTTGCTTTTTATCAACTCCATTCTTCTCATCACTCCTTCAAATCATTACATCAACATTGATTCTTCTCTCTTTCTGTGCACTGCCTTCATGCGACCCCTTCTCAGAATGGCCGCCAAGAACTACGCTGTTTGCTCCATCATTCCTCCTCATATGCTTGCTGGCATTGTCCAGAGCACCTCCGCTCAGCAGATCAGCCGTGATTGTGCCCAACATACCCTCGATCATACCGATGAGATTCGTGTTCAACGTCATCCCAGCCTTCGCCAGACTCAACATGGGCCTCCTGGGGCTCAAGGAATTGTTCCTCCCCACATCACCAGTCATGTTGCTCAGCACCACGATGACCAAGGCGTCCGAGCATCTGCCGACGACACTACCAAACATGACGAAGGTATTCGAGCGGCTCGTGCCAAGGGTGACCACAGTGCTGTCAGCGCAGGTGCCATCAATCGAAAGATCTACAGCTGCAACGGCACTACTCGTCTTCCCGGAACATTGATTCGTGGCGAGGGTCAACAACCTATTGGTACCCGCGACGCATCACGAGACCCTGATGAGTGCTACGAGGGCTTCGGAGCAACCTTCGATTTCTACAAGAATATCCTCGGCCGAAACAGCATCAATGATAGAGGTCTACCTCTCATCGGCTCTGTTCACTATGGTAGGAAATATGACAACGCTATGTGGGACGGCGAACAGATGATCTTCGGCGATGGGGACGGCGTCATCTTTAATGGCTTCACCGACGAACTTGATGTCATTGGCCACGAGCTCACCCATGGTGTAACCCAATACACTGCCAACCTCGAATACGAAGGAGAGTCTGGAGCCCTGAACGAAAGCATCAGCGACTGTTTCGGCTCCATGATCAAGCAATACAGCCTGAAGCAGGACTCCGCCACTGCTGACTGGCTGATTGGAGAAGGCCTCCTTGCAAAGGGCATCAATGGTGTCGCTCTTCGATCCATGAAGGCGCCCGGCACAGCTTACGATGACCCACAGCTTGGTGGCAAAGATCCCCAGCCTTCAAACTACGCCAACCTGTACAAGGGAACCCAGGACAACGGCGGAGTCCATATCAACTCTGGAATCCCCAACAAAGCTTTCTATCTTGCTTGCATTGGGCTCGGGGGTAATTCATGGGATAGATGTGGAAAGATCTGGTCTTTAGCTTCCTGATTCCCCCGTGTGATTTTGCCTTGCTGACCTATCATACAACAGGTATGAAACCTTGACCAGCGGGAAATTGTCCACTAGGGCCAATTTTCAGGCCTTCGCCGATTTGACCGCATCCGTGGCCAGCACCTTGTACGACGCTGATGCTAGTCAGGCGGTTGTCGATGCCTGGGCTGGTGTGGGTATTACTGTCACTGGAGGACAGTCTGGTGGTGGTGGGTTGTGAGCAGGTTGCTGTGCGACAAGACCATGGAGCTATGTTGGCAGTATGGAGAATTGCTTCGGGAAGGAACGGGAGGTGGTGCTCAAGGTGGATTCAACAGAATGAGATCAATGAATCACTGCACAAGTGTTAGCATTACCTAGCAACAATACACATGACTATTATTGAAACAAGCGAACCACACTGCCATAGCCGAAGATTCCTCGGTTATGCTGCCAGTGCTCTGCGCGTGCCAAGTAAGCAATGCTTGTCTTATCTTTCCCATCCGAGTGATGCAATGCAGTGTAAGCTGCATGCAACGCTATCGACGCAGGTCCTCTGCTGCAAGTCCGGGATCTAAGTCGGTCCACTCCAGTTTTCCACTTTGCCAGCTTACAACGAGTAAAACATCGAAATCGGAATCATGCTGAGTGAAAGCAAGCCAAGACGAATACAAAGGCAGCTTGGTTAAGCGATGGAAAGCATCCTCACAGTCAGCGGTAGAAAGAAAGAGGAAGAACACATGACTAAGAATAGGCGAGCGAATATAGATTGGAAAACATAGCAGAGATGCATTGGTGAAGAGGGAAAAAGTAGGTTGGAGGAGAAACTAGTCGGGGATTGTTCTGGAGCGAGTCTGGGTAGGGTTTCGAGGACAGAAAGCGAGGAACTGGCGGGATTTTTGGTTTGGGAATTGTAGAACTAATTGGGAGAGGAAGAGAGAGCGATAGAGGGCAGTGATGTGAGTTGTATTCAACACCCCGACGCTCAAAGCTGTGCGGTGTATAGAGAGTACTAGTAGTGGAATGCGGGTGCTGGGCATCAGGGGTCACCTTGCCTGCTGGCTTCCTCTGCCCTGCCATGCCGTACCTTTGTGGTAACGAAGGATGGTAGCAAGATAAGCCCTACCGGTCCTGGCCTCGGCCCCAAACAGGTCCTGCGATTGCACTGCCATGCCCTGCCCTGACCTGCAATGTCTCGCCATGTCGTGCATTGCAACAATTTACTGCGCCATGCTCCGCCTCACCTTGCTGGAACCCTGAGTAAATCCGAGCGAGCTGCATGTCAGCATCCTAAGGAGATCTCTCAATGCCTTCGTCAGCTGGGCTGGCGTGAGGGCATTAGATGAGGTAGCCTCTTGATGCAGGAGATGTTCGCTGTGGTGTTCGCTGTGGTGCTCGATGTCCAGCAAATAACACCTACGTTGAGGTGTTGGGTACCACTTGGCACATGTCACCTGCAGGGGAATTCGGCCCAAGTGCCCAATGCTAGGCAACGATAGGTGACGCTAGCTTGGCTACCCGACTGTGCCTTTCTTGCTTCTGTGGCTCCGGGCCGAGGTTAAGGGCGTCTAACCGATTTCAGTGGTTCAGCCGTCCACCAGTCATGGTGTCAAATACGCCATACCACACCCCAGCGGAAAGAGATAGGCAAGATCATGAGACCTTCAGTTCAATAGCCCAACTGTTTAATTCAGTCGCCTGCTGACTCACGCCTGCCATGTCCTGCTGCGTCTTTGTCGACAGGCTGAGCGCCTAGAACCCATCCTAATCCACTCACCAAGCCACCGGTCACCATATTGCTAACCATATCCCGTTTGCGGATCCTATTGTGTTGCCCCTCATCTCCACTTCCACCCGCACCTCTTCCATATTCATCACTCGATCGTGATGGGTCGCCGTAGCTGGTTGGGCTATCATTCACTCTGACGCCCTGTGCCCCTGCAGGCGCCCTCAGAGGAAAGGCAGATTTGCCAATTGCTCTCGCAGCGCCTCTGGCCACATCAAAGAGGCCCATAGGTGCTTCGTGCTCATCAAATCTCTTCCCAACCTCAGCTGCTCTCCGTCTCTCCCGTTCTCGTTGGGTTTCAGCAATGTCTGCATCTCTATCCTCCATCCCGAAACCACCTGGAACAGAAGAGATGTTGTCCCCGCGATCATCCCAAGCTTTCTCTTCCGCTGCTTCACGCGCACGAAGGTCATTAAGTTCTTTCTCACAGGCTTGCCAGGTAGAGAGCATTGAGGGAAGGGAAGATGGGTCTGGGACTAGCATTAGAGCGAGAGAGAGAAGTTCCATCCTCTTAGACAAAATATCGATTTTTGCGGATGGTGAGGCGGAGGGTGGAAGGCGGTGCCGGCCGGCGGCGTAAGCGGCGCGCCAGGATGTATCGTCGGCCGGGCCGGAAGTGGATGATGATGGTTGAGGCGATGGGGAGAGACGTGTAAGAATGTAAGAATACGCCGTATCAAAGTCGTTCGAGGAGAGTGCAGAGATGATTGCGTCATAAGTGATACGGTGGTCTGATTCAAGCATTTTGCTTTCCATGTTGTCTTCTGAGGTTGGGATACTAGGTTCGTCCTCTTCAATCGACGAAATGGGAAGACCGGCAGCCACAAACCCACGACCAATTGATAGGAGATCGTCAAGCTTAGTGTAAGCTTTGGAATTCTGCTCCAGCACTTTACTGATAAGCGAAATAGGATCATGGTGAACTCGAATGCTCACTGGCTGAAAAGGTACTCCATGTTGTAACGTCAATTGATAGAATGATAGTGAATGTGTCGCAGCAAGAAGATGCTCAATCCTGTTGACTGGAGAGGATGGTGCAAAGTGTGGACTAAACGCTTTGAGTATCTCAGATGCTCGCTTCAGTCCCCCTCGACTTCTATTACCATTGCTCGCGTTGTCGTAAGCATTTAGTGTTTCATGCTCGACAATCTTCTCCACGAGAAACAATGGTAGTGGGGTGGAGTCTGTATCCGCCAAATACAACGAGATGGCTGTCTGGTATTGCTTGGCCGTGAGCAACGCACCGAAGAGCTCTGTCTCTACATTCTCCCTCGAAACTCGCCAGAATAATGCTCTGTGATTTTCCTCCTCAGATAAAGACGGCGCGACGCTCCCCCATCTGCTCAACCACAGGATCTTGTTCCTAGTTAATTGCCAATCTGTTTCAGCAGATGCCATCCGGGCGAGGTTCTGCAGAGCCCTGTGCAATTCTCGCCGTTGCACTTGCTCTGTTGCATACAAAGCTAGAAACGTCGCATCACGGCACGATAATCTCTGTTGACAGCGTAGTTCCTCCAAAATCCGTATCGAGGTTAAAATGGCCCGCAGAAATTTCAGCGACGCAGTCGACGGTCGAGTCAAGGCATGATGAGGCTCGAGAAGATTATCGGTGGCTAGTTCGGATCGTGGTATGGTGATAATGCTCTCTGGTTGTTCCGACTCGTTAGGTAATCCTTCTATATCACTGTGTCGAGGCAAATGCACTCCAGCTATATCTGCAACACGTTCAAGTATACGCCAGGAGTTCCGATTGGCTTGCGAAGATGTATGATCCGTAGCATATACTGTCGCCAGAGCTGCTTGCCCGTAGTGTATGGACAAAACAGTGTCTGCATCCGTAGATTCTTGTGGTGCGCTCTCATATCCACCAAGATCGACATCGCGTGGTCCATCCCATTTGCATATTGCTTCAGCTGCCAAGTCATAGTCCCCGAGGCTAGTTTCCAGGATCCATTCGTTCACATCTTGCCATCCGGAACGTTCAGGGGCAAGACTGCTTTCCTGCCCAGCGATCGAGGCTCGACGAAAGCTCGGGCTCAATTTCCGTCTCTTTGAGGATCTGTCACCATACATCCATGGTCCTACTATACCTCTCAAATCACGTCCAATGTGTTGTCTTCCTTCCTCGGTTCTGGCCCTCTGTAGCAACAAGTTCAATCCCTCAGTGCCTGCCAGATCGTGGATTGCTACCAATGACAAGCCTGAACCTCCTTCTGAGTAATATTCGTAGTCGAGCCTGAGTAGAGGTAGGAGGCTCGAGATGAGCCATCGACGGAGGGGTTCGACACCATCCACGAATGGTTCAACAAGATGTAGAATCGCTGGTAGGTCTCCTGTTTCTGTATCGATTCGATATGCCTGCTGGATCACGAATCTAGAGACCACATCTTGGGTAGCGAAACCCTCAGAATCAAAGGACTTCAACCGCACCAAGCGCATCTGTTGTATCCTACTACGTGCCTCTGCTTCGTTAAGCTCCTCCACGCTTGACACATCGATGTTCTTCGACGATCCATCTTCCACAATCAGGCCGCGAAGTTGCTTCAGTAGCGGCACATATTGTTCTGGGTCCTCGTTTCCAGACACAAATGTCAACAGGATCCTGCAGCACAGTTCAGCAGCCAGAACATCGGGGCGTTGATGCTGTAAGACCTGGAAGTCTTGAAAGTCTGTCTTGAAGCATAATTCGGTTGCAAGCACGATGATATGAGCGGCGGAAAGACCCTGTACATCGGCCATAGGTACATTAAAGCCCAAAGCCGATCGGATAGGCCATAGAGTAGGACTGGTTGCAAGATGCAATTTTGGTGATCAACCATGGCATACTGCTGCTACAGAGTACTCCGTAGTACTAGTACTGCATCATCTCTAGGAGCTTGGACCAGGTCTTGGCATGAACATCGTATTGGCACCCTCCTGTGAAGCTCAAGAGTGACTTCCGCAACGTCCCTTTCACGCTGTTAGACACTGTTCTACCAATTAACGCACAGTGAACATGGCGTCTGGCTACGGCCTTACAGGAGGTATGCTTGCAACCGTCTTGTTCTTCCAACTCTCCTTTCAGGCTCAATGCGCCTCACCGTTCGCTTGTCAGAGCTCTCATTACTAACCTACCTGCCAGGCGTATCCCGCTGCTTTCCTTTCTGGCAAGAATACCTCGCCTGCTATGTAGTCAACCAGAACGAAAACCCAAGAGAAACAAAGGCCTGCGTTCCGGTTTTGGAAGACTACTACGAGTGTCTGCATCACAGGAAGGAGGTATTTCAAAACTTTAAACTCGGCTCAATTGGGACAATTGCTTATGCCTACGTCGTACAATAGGCCGCCCGCGCAAGAGCAATACAGAAAGCCTACCGAAAAGCTGAGGCTGCACATCCAAGAGAGAATGCACCAAAGGCGGGATCGATTCGAAGTCTTGGGCTGATAGGGAAGGAAGAGGAATCGAAGGCTATACTCAAAGCCGCCTCACAAGATGCCTGATATTCAATTGTACAGCGGATAAAAGCGGTCGTCTCAACGTTGTAGATGTAAGTAGCAATCCAGGCGACAAATCAAAGATACTCAGTCATAGAGACCACAAGTTGAAGCGTATCTCAGCTTGGTTGATCACGACGCTCTGACTAGATCTGAGTACATCTCAACTCAGCGGCGCGTAAAGTGGTAATCACTCCACAAATTTGGTGCACATGTCTATATTGAGCTTATCGGTTGCGGGTTTACATTTGCTGTCATCTTTGTCAAGTCAAAAGTATCACCAGGTGTCGTCCAGACTCTCTCACTCTTTCAGTCATCCTGAATAACCGTTTGCTTGCCGTTTGTCATACATCAAAGTTAGGGGGGCAGGTGACTTGCAGGCCTTCCCATCGCCGAAGTCATTGGATTCGCAATCCTCTTTTGCGATCATCTCGTGGCTGGTTCGTCGACTCTGGTCTTACCCCATACACATCTGGCATGCTACATTGCCCTAAAAGGCACTCCGGAACCATTGAACCGACCATTACGCCAAATAGAAGCTGGAGTTACCTCACTGCGCTTGGCTGGGCATAAAAGCCCAGAAGCCCTCGCTCTTCCGTGTCGTGGCTACTGTATCATTGCGCCATCCGACGCTTTAAATCCTCCTATCATCCTGCACATCCTGGTGCCTATTGGCGGTTCGAAGCTTACTGGTATGATTATAAACGTTCGAGCGACCTCGGAGAATTGGCCGTGGCCACGGACTTCATTTTCCAAGGATCATTCTTGATACCAGGAAAGGGGATCGATACACAGCATTGCAGACATTGACTGAGAACCGCAATTCCCCGTTGTAGGTGTATTTCTGGTCCCCATACCACTGGTGCGTACTCTCCGATACGCCTGGACACTTCCAGAAGGGAAGCTTCCGTTACGCGGAAGCAGATGAAGGCACAGTTCATTACTCAGGCATGTTTTTTCTACTACGTACGTAACAGTGTGTTTGATTCTTCTGATCTTGCATCTACCTATTTTCGGCGGTAGAGTCGTGTCAATTACTAGTATACCACGTAGTATAACAGTAAGGCTTTTCCCGAGATGTGGATTATAATGAAAAAGCATGCAAGACTCGTAGGTACGAAATTCAATAGTGTTGCATACTGTGAAAAGGGGGTTGCATAAGCAGGGTCCGGACCGGTCCCTGCCCGAGGCCCATAGACAGAATTGGTGGCCATCTTGGCTCCTGCATATCTGACACAAGAAATGGGACTATTTAGGCGCAAAGGTCGGCCTGGAACAGCCCAGTCATTATGACGCCTTTGATTTTGCCCAGACGGCCACCAATTCTGTCTATTTATGGGCCTTGGCCCCACCAGCCCGGGCAGGTCTCTGGGTCCTTTGGGCTTTTTATTTCCACCGTCACCAGTTCCGCCAGCTTGCACCCGAAAAAACCACGACGTCCCTATCTCTTATCCGCAGCCCCTCAAATGTGCACCTGAAGCCGTGCCGGATTCTCCCCCGTTGGGCTCAAACCACTTCATCCTCCTCACTCAGTCCTCCATCTCAAACCCGCCTCCCTCCAACCCTCCTCCCTCCAAC